GGCAGCATGGCCACGGCAGCAAGGGGCGAGGTGGGCTTCTCGGCTGCCTCCTAGGCGGCAGAGGCGCCGGCCCGGTTAGTGCGGGGATGGCGGCACTCACGGGGGCTGTTTCCACAGGTCACCGCTCCCATTCCCACAGGAGGTGGAGGAGGAGAAGGAGCTATTAGTTGCCGAAGCCGCTGCTGTCTCCGTCCAAAGGTCTCGGCCACCCCAGCCCAGCGGTGATGCCCCAGGCACCGCCTGAGCAACCTGGCCTGGCAATAAAGTCCTCTCAGTGACGCCCTGCTGCCTCATTGCCTTGCAGCTGCTTGGCTGCACATGCAAGGTCCGGGGTGGCAGTGGGCACGGCGCGCTCTTCCCCGAGCCGACGGAGGTTTTAAACTGTGTGCTCGTCCTTGCCCCACAGCGATCGCCAGGTCTGAAGGTTGGAGATGTCCCGGCTGCTACTGCAGTGCCCAAAAGGGCCAGCAGCCCCTCTCCCACGGGCACCAGAAGAGCAACATTCCCACCATTGTATCTGTCCCAATGAACGTAGCAAGAAAGATCCTTGCAACAGCTGGATTTTAGTTGAAGTGTGATACGTATATATAAAATAAGCTGGTATTAAGGACAGTGTACTCAGGAGTAGCTTTGAAATGATACCACTGAGCACCTCATAGCGGCTTCCAGCGATGCGATGGCCCGGTGGCCCAGGAATGACGTGTGGCGCTGGGTGGCACCTGCTGCCCCAGCAGGACACAGGGTGGGAGCCAGTCCCTCACAGGCACAGCTTCCACACCACGATCCAGTCACTAACACATTGACGGCCCAGGACCACGGTGTGTTTTTGAGGAGAGGGGCTGTGTAACTCCCTGCTGCCTGTGGGACGTGGCCTACCCTTGCGGCACAGTGTGGCTGTCCCGTGAGCGCGGGTGCAACAACATGGAAACCACGATGTGCGCAGGGAAAGTCCAAAGCCACTCCCCGGACACCGGGTGGCTGAAAATGGCCCCCCCATGCAGCGCAACGCGATGCACTGGGCATGTGGGGGCAAAGAATTGTGAGCGACGGCTCAGAGCTGAGGGCAGAGGCTGGTGGGCAGCAGGGTTTGGCCTCGGACGCTCACGCACCGGGTTAGGACTCAGCTGTGTATGGAAATGCCTTGGCAACCAGAGCTAAATTCTTGGTTGCTGGTGCACGGCTGTTCCGGAAGCTTCTGAAGGCGCCGGGCGGCGCGGCGGGCG